CTAGAGGGGACGGGGGATGATGAAGGAGGAGGAAGGAGGAGAAGACAGAGAAGGAGGGGAAGGAGGCGGCAGAAAAGGGAGGGGGAGAAGGAGAAGGAGGAGGAGGAGGGGAAGGAGGAGGGGAAGGAGGAGGAGGAGGAGGAGGAGGAGATGGAAGAGGAGGAAGTGGAACGAGGAAAGCTGACTAACTCACTCGGGCGGGGCAGACATCCCGCTCGAAAGCTGCAGAAGGCGTAGCGCTGGCAGCCACACTGGAAATATGATGGAGAAGAGAGAAGGAGCAAGGAAGATATCTGATGGAGAAGAGAGGAGGAGCAAGGAGGAGAGAGGGGAGGGGAAAAGGGAGGAATAGAGGGGGGAGAGGGGAAGGAAGAGAGGGATTGAGAGAGAGGGAAAGAATGAGAGAGAGGGAAGGAGGGAGAGATGAGGATACATATGACTATACACATATATGAGAGAGCGCGCCCGCAGGGCCCGAGCAAAGGGGAGGGAGGGGCTAGGCTTAAGCTACCCCCCCCCTCCCTTGAGCCGCCCTTGTTGGAAGCACCCCCCCCCCTCCCCCCCTTTTTTTGCAAGGGGGGGGGGGCTCACAGCTACCCCCCCTCCCCCCTTGGGCCCTCCCCAGAAGCTACCCCCTCCCCCCCCTTTCCAAAGGGGGGATGGTGCTTAAGCTACCCCCCCCTCCCTTGGCGCTGCCCTGCTGGAAGCTACCCCCCCCCCCTCCCCCCCTTTCGTGCAAAGGGGGGGGGGTGCTTGGAAGCTACCCACCCACCCCCTTTGGCCGCGCCCGGAAGCTACCCCCCCCTACCCCCCTTTCCAAAGGGAGGGGGGTGCTTAAGCTACCCCCCCCCTCCCTTGGAGCCGCCCTGCTGGAAGCTCCCCCCCCCCCCTCCCCCCCTTTGTGCCAAAGGGGGGGGGGGGCTTGGAAGCCCCCCCCCCCTTCCCCCCTTTGGCCGCCCAGCCCCCGGAGCCTCCGCCCTCCCTTTCGCCGACGATCCAAAATGAACAATCCACGATCGAGGATGGACGATCGACGATCAACGATCGACGATCGAAAATCCCAATCGAATCGCTTGCAATCGATTGCACTCCATTCCACTGCAATCCCCCTCCCCACCTCCCTCCGCTCCCTCCCCTCCCTCCACACCCTTCGTTCCATCTCCTCCCTCCCCTCCCTCTCCTCCCCTCCCTCCCTTCCGTCCTGTCCCTCCCCTGCAATCCAATCGATTGAATCGATTGCAATTCAACCGATTGCAATCCAATCGATTGCAATCCAATGGATTGCAATCGAATCGTTTGCAATCCAATGGATTGCAATCGATTGCAACGCAAGTGTATCATTCAACTCGTTCCGTGCCAACGCCCGGGAACGAAACATTACCCTGGCGACGTACCCAACCCCTGCGCAAACGCGGTGCGCAAATAGTTTAGGACACTTTATAAGGGGGGCGATGACGGAGCGAGGGTTACATATGTCTGCAGACGGAATTCGGGAGACTCGCAGGAAACTGGCTTCAGGACAAGGACTAGATAAAGCTGATTAGTTGCAATCCCTGAGCAACCCTGGCCACTTCGAAAGCGGGGATCTCAGATCGCAGCCCCCCAGGGATGGCGAGGTCTAATTTGGGTCCGCGCGTGGCGTCACTGTGCTGGGCCCCCCAGCAGGCCTCGAAAGTGGCGACAGTTTCACAGATCGCAGCCCCCCAGGGATGGCGAGGTCTAATTTTCGTCCGCGCGTGGCGTCACTGTGCTGGGCCCCCCAGCAGGCCTCGAAAGTGGCGACAGTTTCACAGATCGCAGCCCCCCAGGGATGGCGAGGTCTAATTTGGGTCCGCCCGTGGCGTCACTGTGCTGGGCCCCCCAGCAGGCCTCGAAAGTGGCGACAGTTTCACAGATCGCAGCCCCCCAGGGATGGCGAGGTCTAATTGGAGTCCGCGGTGTGTACCCACTGTGCTGGGCCCCCCAGCAGGCCTCGAAAGTGGCGACAGTTTCACAGATCGCAGCCCCCCAGGGATGGCGAGGGTCTCACTGTGCTTCTGTTTTCGCAGCCCCCCAGGGATGGCGCGCGTGTCTGCGTCACTGTGCTGGGCCCCCCAGCAGGCCTCGAAAGTGGCGACAGTTTCACAGATCGCAGCCCCCCAGGGATGGCGAGGTCTAATTTGGGTCCGCGCGTGGCGTCACTGTGCTGGGCCCCCCAGCAGGCCTCGAAAGTGGCGACAGTTTCACAGATCGCAGCCCCCCAGGGATGGCGAGGTCTAATTTGGGTCCGCCCGTGGCGTCACTGTGCTGGGCCCCCCAGCAGGCCTCGAAAGTGGCGACAGTTTCACAGATCGCAGCCCCCCAGGGATGGCGAGGTCTAATTTGGGTCCGCCCGTGGCGTCACTGTGCTGGGCCCCCCAGCAGGCCTCGAAAGTGGCGACAGTTTCACAGATCGCAGCCCCCCAGGGATGGCGAGGTCTAATTTGGGTCCGCCCGTGGCGTCACTGTGCTGGGCCCCCCA